TTGTTGGGCGTGGCAGGGGACAGATACTGCAAAATCTCCATTCCCTCCCCACCCTACGAACCTGCTTTCCAGCTCCGTTCTCCTGTGCAGGGCAACCAAAGGAGACCCAGCCTATCAGGAGAGGCGGACAACAGATGGGGTTGGCGGGGCCAGTCGGGTGGTATTTGCCGGTTCTCCGAACGACTCAAAATTTCCTCTACCCGTTCTCCAGAATGGGTCAGAACCAGCTGAGTACCACCTCCGCCTAGATCCCAAGCAAACACCGTTTCACTCCCCGCCATTCTCCTCCAACTGTGCAGCCTGGTTCCTAACAGGCCATAGCCTGGTACCAATCCGTGGCCCGATGATTGTACATCCCTGCTGTAAACCCCTCTTTTTGTGTGTATATTTTAACTAGAGGCTATTATTATTCTAAATTTATAAGAAAGATTAAGCTAGGTTTATTTCCTTTTTGCTGCGACAACATAGTTGCAAATTAACCTGAGATAGGTTTTAGCAAGAAAGCACATTTGTTATTGTTTGCAATTCGATTACCCGGCTGGGTTGTATTTCCAATTTCTTTTCATGCTTCTCCTTAGCAGAGTAAATCAAGTTGTTTTTGAAATGCAGCGCTGTTCTGTTTGAAATTGCCTTCAGTGCACGTGGCGGAGTTTTTGGTCTTTTAACTTGGAGGGGTCAGAAATAATTTGGGCTTTTTGGTTTTCCTTCGAAAAGGAGAGGCCGTTTTTGCCCGGTGTTTGTCTTCACTCAAGGACGAAAGGGTACAAGCCAACAAAGTTTTGAGTGGTCCCAAAACACAAGCGTTTACTGGGAATAAAGAAGCATTTCTGGAAGACATTCGTAAAGTGAGTTCATGGCTTTTCTTGTCAGTGGGCCTGATCCCTTCTTGAGCTTTGATATTTTATCAAAATGGGTGTAACAGGGCTGGAATACAAACCAGACCAGCCTTCCTCATTGTGGTGCTGTCCGTAACTTGTTGATTCCATAATATGCTGAAAATTAGAGGCATATTTTATCTGAGTTGCGGAACTCTGGAGGATCACAAGGTGGCAGTAATTAGAGGTTTCCGCTGTTCTCTGCTGCCATCTAGTGGTAAACTAAAGTATGCATTATAACCTTCAATATCTGAAGGGCATCGTTGAGGAAAGCTGGTCTGGTCTATGGATCAGCAAGTTTGTTTTGTTTTGTAGAACGAAACCTTTTTAGGATCTGAAGATACCCCAGGCCTAACTTCTATTGAGGTCCTTCCTTGGTTTGCTATCACTCTGAATCATAAGGTGGCTAAGTTGGGGGGGGGGGAAGCTTTTATTCAGCATGATTTGTGAATTTATTTAATTTGTGCAAGCTCTTCCTACTCAGAATCAAAGTCCTTTATTTTGGTTATGGATCATCATGGTTTAAAAAGTCACTATGGTGCCTCCAGGCTATTCTCTAACTTGTGTCCTTCCTATAGGCCCTCTATGCTTCCAAGATCATTTCCTACGCCCAGGGCTTCATGTTACTGAGGCAAGCCGCCAAGGAGTTTGGCTGGACCTTAAATTATGGTGCGATTGCACTGATGTGGCGTGGAGGCTGCATAATCAGGAGGTAAGACAGAAACAGGAAACCGTTTGGAGGATGGACATTCCGTTGCGAAAGCTCTGGGTACAACACAGGCTAACCATTCCAGTCAAACATTCTGGAAATATTGTCAAAAGGGTACCAATACCATTCCACAAGGATTAAAGAAAAGCAAAGAGTTGCCGTCTGCGCGTAGGCGACAATTTAAAATTTTCAAATAAATAAATAAAGATAAAGATAACCAGATTAAGATGGCGAAAGTTCCTTTTCTGAAAATCTCTACTTTCAAAATATCCTTAAAGCTGTCAAAATCGTCTTAACTTTGAATATTATTTGCCTCAGTTGAGACCCCAGAAAGGGATGTACAAATCCAGGGACAGATTTCATCATAACGCACACAGTCATTTCTTTTTAAATTAGTGCAGCGTCGTTCTCTGGCTATAACTCTGAATCAATCTGAATCTGGGGAAAATGTGTCTCGATCAATACAGAACGGATTCGTCCTAATTCCCGCTGGCATCAAATGCCAACCCAATTAAATCCCTCATCGGTTTCATATTCTGATCCTTATTCATTTCCATATTTGTTAATGGCTATTTTTGTGTTCTCTCCTGGGCAGTGTTTTCTTGGGCAAAATCAAAGAAGCTTTTGACCGAACACCTGACCTGCAAAATTTACTCCTAGATGTCTTTTTTAAGACAGCAGTGGAAAACTCTCAGGTGGGTATCTTCATGAAGACTTTTCTGGCTGGGAATCCTGGGACTTGAAATCTGCCCATCTTAAAAGTGGCAGAAATTGAGAAACATCAGTCGAGAGAGAGAGAGAGACAGATAAACTAATTTTTCTGCACTTCTGTCTTTTCCCAAGGATTCATGGCGACGTACAGTTAGCACTGGGGTCCAGATGGGAATCCCAATGCCTTGTTTCACCACAGCATTAGCGTTTTACGATGGGTATAGACATGGCACTTTGCCCGCTAACCTGATCCAAGTGAGTAACTTATGAACGGAGTCTGATCATAAACTTGTTTTGATTCCTAATTTCTTTTTTTCCATTCACAACTTATTGAATCCCAGCTTAACTCCGATTTTCACTAGAAGTGTAATTATATTGTAAAGGTAAAAGTTCCCCGTGCACATACGTGCCAGTCATTTTCGGGTCTAGGGGGCGGTGCTCATCTCCATTACAAAGCCAAAGAGCCAGCGCTGTCCGAAGACGTCTCCGTGGTCATGTGGCTGGCATGACTAAACGCCGAATGCTGTTCCCTTCCCACCAAAGTGGTCCCTATTTTTCCACGTGCATTTTTTACGTGCTTTCGAACTGCTAGGTTGGCAGAAGCTGGGACAAGGAACAAGAGTTCACTCCATTATGTGGCGCTAGGGATTCAAACTGCCAACCTTTCTGATCGACAAGTCAGCATCTTGGCCCTGAGCCACCACGTCCCTTATTTTATAAATTATATTTTGGGAGATTTGATTTCCTTCATTTGCAGTGTGTCTTTCGGGGTCTAATTGTTAGCCCAAAGAAAAGCGAGGAGGGATGTAAAATTCAAAGACTCAATAGTATAGCACAGTAAACCTAGAAACCCCACTTAAAAAGCTGCATAAACCACAGAGCATCCTTCAGAGGTGTGGACTTTCAATTCCAAGAATTCCTTAGCCAACGAAGAATTCTGGGAATAGAAACTGACCTCTTAGAAGCCACCATGTGGTCAATTTTAGCTTGCAAGAGTGGCTGTGTGAATGCAATCTTGATCAGTATTAGTTCTTCCGTCGTGAACGGTCTAAGCCTCAAGTTGTCAACTCAAAATGTTGTGCGTTCTCTCTCTTAGGCTCAGCGGGATTATTTCGGGGCCCACACCTACGAATTGTTGTCAAAACCGGGCGAATTCATCCACACCAACTGGACAGGGCACGGGGGCAACGTCTCGTCTTCGTCCTATAACGCCTAGAGGATAGAAAACCCCATGAAAGCTGCATAGAGGGAGTCTCCAAACCTTGGGGCATTCCTGTAGATGTCCAGTTTTTAGCTGTTATTTTCTATTTTCTTTTTTGTAAAGACAGTCTTATGGTGTCTTAGGCAAAAGCCAGAATAAAGTTGATGGAATTAAAATGGTATTCTGCTGAAATAAATGCTCGTTTCCAACTCATCTTCGCTTTTTTAATTCCTTGAGATTGTAGCAATTTGGAAGAAGGCCTTGATGTACAGAAGCAAGAATTATATCTGGTCAGAGGGGCAGGGATGATGGGGTTGGTAGTTCGCCCCTCCAGTCCTGGCTGGCTTGTTTATTAGCGTACCAGTTTATTAGCCTATCAATTAGCATATCAGATCCTGTTATCTGGTCGTCAGCCCTGGTATTCTCTAATTTCTTGGACTACAGCTCCCCATTTATTGCCAGAGGTGGCCCAGGATGATGGGGCATGTATTGCTACCCATGCGTTGTTTGGATAGGATCATGCAAACAAAATTTAAAAAATAGGACTCAGGTTTCTTGGAAAAAAAATACTGATAAAAGTTAATTACTTAAAATACTATTCTTAGTAGTAACATGCCTGGAATAAACATGTTCATGATCCCAACAAAAATTAAAAATTAAAAATAATAAAAAGAAAACAAATCCTGAAAAAGCTGCCTTCAGTTTTTATATCTCCTTTTTGACTGCTGATCCTTATTAAAAAGAATTGTTTGGTTTTATTTAAGAGGGAGTTCGCTGAGAGCAAATTTGGAAAAATTTTTTTTTTTAAATGATAAGCAAAAGCAAATTAAATTATTTTTATTTTATATTGTTTACTTCTGCATTCATATATACATACCTTTATCTTTTGGTTTTTATTTGCCATGCATTTTTATTCTTTACATTTTATATTATATTTTTAATCCTTTTTTTTAAAAAAAAATTACATCCTTTCCTAATTTATTTTCACTTTCTTCCTTTTAGATGCAGGAAAATATATTTGTTCACAAAAGGATTTTAAAAAAGAGTAAAAGAAAATATAAAGAAATTACAGAAGAATGTGCAAAAAATATACATTATTTCATATTCTTTACAATCTATATTTCAGATTTCATTTACACTTCCATCCTTTTCATTTTCTCTTTTTGGTTTTTATTCAATTCTACCTTATATTATTAAGAAGAAATTGAGCAGAGGGTTGGACTAGAAGACCTCAAAGGTCCCGTCCAACTCTGTTATTCTGGCACCTGTTATTAAATATTACACTTTTATTTCCATTTTATTTCTATTTCACGTCCTTTTCAGGCCAACTCACATCCCTTCCCCCACCCACCCGCTCGACCTCAACCCCTCTCCCCGCGCTGCTCTCCATAGTGAGACTACAAGCCCCATCCTTCCTTCCTTCCCTCATGGGGTTTGTAGTCCGACGCTTGAAAGGACCGGGTGGGAGGAGAATGCGCTTGGCGGCCCCGCCCCTCGCCCCGCCCCTCAACAGCGCCCGCCTGAGGCGAAAAATAAAAGGCGGGAAAAGCGGCCGCCATTTTGGCCGCTATGGAAGCTGAGGCGCAGGTACCACCCTTTCTCCTCCCCCTCCCCCGCCCGGGAAAAAGGGCACCCCTGAGCATGTGCAGAGGGGCGGGCATGGCTAAAATTCTGGATTCTCCGCCGAGGCTTTTTCTCTCTCGCTTGCTTCCCGCTAACTCGGCTTTTATTGTTTTTTTTTTGTTTTTTTATGCGCCGCGGCCGTGAGGGAGTTCGCCGGCTGGCGGACCTGAGGGGGAAATGAGCAACCCCCGAGACGTAGTGCCTCTGAGCACGTGCAAAGCGCCGTTTCTTGGGCTGTTGAAATGTTCCACGAGAACGGGGGAGCGGGAGGAAGGAAGCCTTGGCGGTAGTGGTGGTGGAAGGGGTCTCTGAGCATGTGCAGAGTTTCCAGAGGAGGAGGGAAGGGTAATCCTGCTGCTGCCAAACTGGCCATGTCCTTTGAGCGTGTACAGAGTGCTTTGGGGACGGAATATCAGGAATGAGAGTGGTTGGAGTGACATTTCCCCCTCCTTTCACTTAATACATACGTATAAACATAGAGACGCATACACTTTTTTGTAATAAACACAGAGTCAGCTCTGTTGGCCTGGCACCCTGTTTTATTAATGCTTTGTTCAGAGAAAATGGTGCTTTACTTAAGCACATTCAAAGGCCAGGCCTCAATAAAGAAAGATTGAGGAGAAAATGACAATAAAAGGATTGTTTTTGTAAACCGTCCAGAGCCAGAATGGAAATATGATAAATAAATATTGAATAGTTGGTGTCATTGATATATTAAATTGTTTAAAAGGCCTGACCTTTTTATGGATATATCAAAAATATGCTCTTTGTGTTTGTGTGTGTTAATTCATATACATATGTATATATATAGGGTGTGTCTGTGTATTTAAAAACACACACACCTTAT